TAGTAAAATAACATGTAATTCAATTTAAAAAATAAAGTAACCATAAAAAAGTTTCATAAGTAGTAATACATTTTTAAAAAACAATAAAAGTGAAAATTGATGAAAATTGGATTTCAATGTTTTTTGTAATGAATTTTGAGTAAATAATGTGAAATAAGCATAATTTAATTTTAGTATTTTTGTGAACGTCTCATTTGCCATTATTAAATTATATTTAGTCTATCAGCATCCAAGTTTTTTTAGTCTAATATAAATTCATGTTTCAATTCTATGTTTACAGGAAAACCATTTATCTTACACTATGAACTAGCAGCCAATATTATAATACTTTTGTATATTTACACACAATAAATGTATTAAAATCAAATCATATCAAAGTCTTATTTTGTGTTTGTGTGTATTAAAATTTTTTCATATTGCTTCAAAACAGTTATTATAGTTAACTAAAACATTTTATTATAGTTTATTAAATATTAATAAAATAAAATAAACAAAATTCAATTAAAAGGCAACATTTCTCATTTTTATCAGTTTAACTTCAAGTACTAAAATAACCAAAACCAAATACACTAAAATAAAAAATAAAATTACTTAAAACAAAAGTTAACTGAAATAAAATAAAAACTTAAACTTGTTTTATTTCAGCTGGTTGCCAAGGCAACATTTCTCATTTTTACATGAAGTAACCAAAACATCTAAATTAAAATTAATAAAAGCTATTTAAAAAAAAAAAAAAACTAAAAATGACAAAAACAACATTACTAAAACTTTAACTAAAATTAATGTGAAAAATATAAAAATAAAATCTCATTCAAAATATGAACAAAAACTATAATAGTATAACACTGCTTCAGAAATGATAACTACAACAATACAGTGCTGCAGATAATCAACCAACACTTTCTCTCAATTTATTGTTGTACTGTTGATTTTTTTGCCATATTTTTTCTAGTTTCTCCTGCACTTTCGCAGCCTGTTCCACATCGCACAGTTTCTATATTTTCACCTGATCTCGTAACCGGTCTGTCTCCTCCTGATACGCCGCCAGCTGTTTCTTCCACTGCTCCACGTTAGCGTTAGCCTCATGCAGCGCCGCCACCAGTTTAGCGTTACTGTCCTGTAAGGTGAAGAGCTCGGCCTCCAGATTCATCTCACAGATCGAGCTGAAACACACACAACCCTGATCTGAGACGCAGCCCATTTTCCCTTCAACTTCACTGAATATTGTTTCATCAAAATAAAGATAACTTTTATTGAAGCTTTAATGCTCTGTGCATCAAAGCAAGCATGCACACTCTTAAAAATAAAGGTGCTTCACGATGCCATAGAAGAACCTTTTTTGTCTAAATGGTTCCATAAAGAACCTTTAACATCTGGAGAAGTTCAGCAGGGGCTGCCAGAGC